CCAGGGCCCTGAACTGATCCTGCTGGAGAGAAGAGACTTGAAGGTACTTCCCCTGGCATGCTCCTGCCCCCAGGCACCTCCTGCTCTCATGTGCAGTTGCTTGTGTTGTGGGCGCTTGCATGGTGCATGGCATTGCCAAGCTGGGCTGCTGGTATGGGCTGTGCCTCTCTTTTGTCTGTCCTCCCTGCTGTGCAAGTAGCAAGGAAGGGACTGGGCAGTGGGCACAAGGAAGTACTGGGAACTTGAGTCAGAGGAGCCACCCATCAAGAACAGCTGCCCCACTTCCCTGCCCTTTTGGGAACCCCTCCTAGGTTTGTGGTCCTTTGCCATTTTTTTTAAGCCAGCATAGTCTTTCTGGCAGATGAATAGTGCAACAGCTCCACCTGCTGATGGCTGGAGAAATAACCACATCATGTGCTTCATTGTGTTTTAGTGGCAAACATTTCACTCCAATGCACTCTGAATGAAACCGTGGAGAGTCCAGGGTGAAAGTGGCCTATCTGTACAGGGACACAACTTAAAAGTTGCCCAGCCGTACTCGGATGATGGCCCTCAGCCGCTGTTACACTAACTAAAGTTGTTCTTTCTTTTTAAGGATCTCGGGATATCAAAAGTGGGCCATGTGAAGAGGATTCTCCAGGGAATTAAGGACACTACCAGCCAGCTTTAGATGCCAGCAGGAAGCTGCAGCCCTGCCCTCTAACCCCCTCTGTCTTAACTGCTGCCAGTCGTGGCTTGTGGAACCCATCGCGTACGATGAAGCGCCCGGCCTGAGCCCGGGTGCCCTGGAACCCTGACCCCAGGACAGCTTCCCATGCATTCCATGCAATGAGTTGACATTTCTGTGTTTGCCAAAGACTGTGGCTTGGCTGTGTTTGTCTCTCCTCGTTGCCTTCTGCTCCCTCCCTTCCCTTTTCCCCGTGGCACTTCTCGTGTCTTTTTTAGTTCATGTGTTTGAGCTGCTTTAAGTGAAGCCATTCATTTCCATCCATTCCTGGCACTTGGTTGGGGGGTGGAGGTGAAGCTCCTGCAGCTGCTCCTGGGCTCACTACATTGGGTTGCTTTCATGCCTGGCTGTGCTGTGAAACACTATCAGATGACAAGAAGCCAGCTTGGTGGGGGGGAGGCTAAGGGGTAGCTGAGCTGGGTAGTTGTGGCCCAGAAGACCCCATAACCCGAGGAGAGAAGGGCGTGCCCCAGAAGTCTTCTGGCTTCTCTGTTGAGCTCAAGCCCGGTCCTCTGCTTGGATGGGTCTGTCCTGCGGCGAGGCCTGTGCCGGTGCACCTGCCTGTCCAGTGAAACCAAAAGCAGCGGCAGGCTCTGGCTGCTTTCCTTTTAGGAGGGAAAAGCCTCTTCCTCTGAGAGTCTCCAGGGTACTTAACAGCTCTGTGCCAGGCAGAAAAGTAACAGGTACAGCTGTCCCTGCTGCTGAACGTCTGGCTGCCCTGCATCCGTTCAGGGAGTTATTACTTCTCTCATTTCCTAGAGCGCTTTCTCATCTGAGTAGGTTGAGAGCCTCATCCCAGAATGAGCACTTCTGAGCTCTGCTGATGCCTCCCTTGTGCCCCCCCCTCTGTTTAGTTAGTTGGGCATGAAGGTGCTAAGAGGGTAGAGCCTCTGTGCCCACCTGAATAAAAGATGGGTTACAAGGGGGATGACCCACATTGATGATAGCAACAGTAACTTGCTTGGTGGGTGGGTGTTAATGTCAAGTAGGAAAGGTGCCAGCTGCAGGCTTTCGGAGTTTTGCAGCCATCAGCTGCCAGGAATGTTCTGTGCTACAGAAGCTCCCAGACCAACAGGGGAAAAAAATTACAAATTTCTTTCCTGCTATCAAGAAACTTTACACTAGAGCTTGGGACAGGAGCAAGTGTGCTCTCGGCTTTCCAAGGTCTTAAGCATGAAATCCAAATGACAGTACATTTTGAATGGGTTGAGTTCTGTGCCCTACCTGGAGAAGGCACTACCTTGGCACCGTGTCCCCTGCCCCTGGCCTGTGACCAACTGCATGGCTCCTAGCCCCTGGAGGAGGAGAGGCAGGGAAGCTCTGCTTCTTCCTAAGCTGGTGAAGTGAAATAATGACCCTACCTGCTGCTTGGGGAGAATGTAACTAGTTTGGAGAGAAAAGATATTTATTTAAATATTTAATATATAAAGCTTAATTTATTTTTCACCTGTGTTGCGCGATTGCACTTTTCCAAGTCCCGCTCCTTCCCGGAGACTACTTTATCCGTTCTGAGGCCCGGCTGTTCCAATGACTGCCTGTGCAGTGGGATGCTTGGGGGGGGGGGTGCACCTCTGGGCCTTCCTCAGGGTGGTTAAACATTGCTGTTTGCCTGCTGGCTTTGCTTTAACTGTGGCAAACCCATCTCATGCACCGATGCAATCACTACTGCATGAGCTAGTCTCTGAGAGTCCCTGATGCCGAGATCCAGGCAGTTTCCATGGGACCAGTGCCGAAGAGAGACAAAAGGTGACCAGGACTGCTTCTTTCGGACAGTTGCAAGCCAAGGGACCTGCTCCCCGCCCAGCTGCGGCAGCCGCCACAGTAAAGAAGCTGGGACTTGGTCAGCCGGAGAAATGCGACTGTCCCAGCACCCTGACTGGAGCTCACCTCCCTGCAGCAGGTCCTGGGCCTCCTTCTCGTCTCTGCCACTCCACTGCTGGCTTTTCTGCTGCCCTCTGTTAGCCTGAAGATCAATACATGCCAGTCAGGGCTACTAAACACACCAGGTCCTTTGCAGTAGCTCTGAGGACTCCAACCTGAGACTGCAAACAAACAGCCTAAGCCTCTTTTTTCCCGCTCCCTCCCAACACCCTAGAGCAAAACAGCAATGGGGAGGGAGGGAGAGGCAAGGCCTAAAATGGGGCTAGCCACTGGGCCAAGCCAATGCTGCCTCCTGCAAAGCCATGGTGCCTGAAGGAGGCAGAACTATTGCTACAGCCACCAAGGACTTGGGGGGGGGGGATGTCAGCAAACTCAAGCACCCCCGTTGCCAACTGGTGCAGCTCTTGCTCTGCACAGTCTGCTGTTGGGGGGTGGGTGGGGGGTGTACGGCTGCCGTCACTGTATTTTCTTGTGCTAAAGTGATTGATTCATATCGTGACTGTGAGTGTAGGGGGAAAATTTATGGGGGAAGGGTGTACATAATATTTCCTCCTGAGGGAAATTGGGAGGAGGGGAGGCTGCTTGCTCAGAATAACCTAGAGCAGGCCTGTCCTGAAGGGGCTGCAAGCAGCACCCCTCCTGCCCCTCCAGTCAGTCATCCCAGGGGGTTAACTTTTGTTGGCCAAAGGCCTGGGCCTGGCTCCAAAGCAGCGGACTGCCGTTTGCTCCCCTTGCCGGCTCTCTGTAGCGGGAAAATAGAAATCCTGCCAGTAGCCCCCTATAGAGTGTGTTTCCCACCAGAAATCAGGGAAGGCGCATTCTCTGCTTTGTTTAAAGAAAACGGGTCTGGGTTAAGGGCAACTGGGAGCAACGGGCAACTGGAACTGCAGAGAGGGTGTGGAGTTGCTGGCTGGAGGCAGGGGGGTCAGCTGCTATACAGGATGCACCCCTCTTGCCCCAGTGTGGCCCTATGGGGATCTTTACCATTCAGCAAAGCTGCTGTTTTCAGCTGCAGCTTCCAGGAGAAAGAAACAAAAAAATTGAGCTGGAAAGATAGCGAGTTGTTTCCCTGTCCCTGCCTAAAAACTGATGCACTGAAAGAGAGCCAGAACCAAAGCCCAAACAGACTGATATTTCATTTTAAAAACGAGAGCGAGAGAGATGACTCTTTTACTCACAAAAGAAATTGGCTGTTATTCCATTCTTACAGTTTCCCCACCACCCACACAGGGCTCGAAGGCAGCAGGTAAGCCCTGTAGTCTCCCCCCACCATGCCTTTTCTTTCCACCCCCTTGTGGCAGGGGAGATAAGAGTGAACTGGCCCCCCAAACACTGTACTGCTTGTTCAATAAATGAGGCAGCTGATCTGCTCCTGCCAAAAGTCGTGTGTCTTTTACTGGCTAAAGGAAGAAAAGCAACAGGTAAGGCTTTCCCTGTACCACATTTCCCAGCCCGGCAAAATCTTTACTTGGTAGGTTAGATGATGACATTCAGGTCCTAGAAGCAGGAACAAACTCTTTCAAACACCTTTTACAATGAAGAAGCTACACACAGAAGGTGGGGGGGGGCAGATGGTCAGCCCCTGCTGTCTGCCAAAAGAACCTGAATTTTAATCACTACATTCAGAATTCTGGGATGCCAGAATAAAGTACGTAAGTGAGTAGGGACAGGTCTGACTGATTTTCTTAGTGCATGGCCTGCTCCAGTCCAATGGAGACCCACCCTTGACACTACTTGAAAGGAAATGCATGTCAACTTGGCCACTAGGATGAAGAAGAGATTGGATTTATACCCCGCCCTTCACTACCCAAAGGTGTCTCAGAGTGGCTTACAAACTCCTTTCCCTTCCCCTCCCCACAACAGACACCCTGTGAGGTAGGTGGGGCTGAGAGAGTTCTTGGCAGAAACTGCTCTTTTCCAAGGACAGCTCTTATCAGACTTACGGCTTGCCCAAGGTCATCCAGCCAGGTGCAAGTGGAGGAGTGGGGAGTCAACCCCGGCTCTCCCAGATTAGAGTCTGTGCACTTAACCACTACACCAAGCTGGCTCTCCACCACACTTGTTGCTCAGCAACACCCCCACTTGGTAGTTCTACAGACTTCCTGCCTCCTACTGGGCACCAGCAGTTATGGGGGAAGCAGGTTGGCAAGAACAGTGCACGCACACACACACCCTTCCCCCAAGCAGTACCATGGGAGGAAGAGAAACCAAACAGACTCAGCAAAGGGCCGCAGGCCACAGCTGAGAGGAAGGTTCAGAACTGAAGGCATTCCACCTACAACAGTGACATGCAAAGAGGCAGAAATATCATACCATGTTTTATTGAAAGCTTTTCTATTACTTTGCTCCCTATACACGAACACACACATTTCTTTTCAGTTCTTTTCCCCCCCTACAATTAAAAAAAAAAGTTATATACAGAGTTCAGGGCTAAGAGTCATTCTCTATTTACACAGTATTTACACAGCAGCTGCATTGCTCTGGCTTTATGACAAAGACCTCCGGCTGGCCCTTTGCAAAGAGTCCTCCAGCTTCAGCATATCCATAGGGGGCATCTTGGCCACTGCAAAGAAGACCCTGCAAGGCAAAGAGAGAGAATCTTGTGCAGGTTGGTGCAGGCAAGGAGACAACACAGGGCGGGATTTTTTAACACACAAGTTTTGTTTCTTCTGTTCATCCTAACAGCCTCTGCTTCCTCCTCCATGTTTCTTTCCCTTGTTCAGTAACACCTGAAGCGGCTTTATACTGAATCATACCACTGACCTATCATATTCGATATCTGAGTGGCAGCGGCTCTCCAGGGTCTCCAGCTGAGGTCTTTCACATCATCCACTAAAAGTTTTTAACTGAAGATGCTGGGGGATTGAACTGGTGACCTTCTGCATGCAAAACAGATACTCTCCCACTGAGTCACATCTCTTTTAGCATAGAGGGGTCTAGCCTGCCCAGCAACAGACTACAGATGCAGTGATGGGGCTTTGGAGCTGCTTGAGGCTCTTCCTCCCACCATTCCCCCAATGTGGCACACTCATGGTTCGGGAAAGTGGGCAAGATTGGCACCTTGAAACAGCTGCCATTGGAGAAGCGGGACGATGGGGTAATCAGAAGCCAGGGATGGAAGTAAAAGGCCCCTCCTCTCCCTTTAATCCGCAGCCTCTGCACTCTCATCCCAGCACCCAGGTGGCTGGCTTCCGGGAGGAGAGTTTTCTCAGGTGGCTGCCCTGGTGGGAGTGATTCTCTGTGGCCAGTTTACTCTCCTCTGGCTGCCTTGGCAATCTCACTCTCTCACCCAGCGGGCTGAGGAGGGAGCAGGAAAGCAGAGGGAATCACTCCAGATGCAGAAGGGCTGGCTAAGGTTCAACAGTGCAGGGAGAGATAACCCTGCATGCTCAGCAGTACTCTGGTAAGTAAACAGGTTATAGTTAAATAGATGGCTATAACAGAGTTATTGTATGTGCAGGTCTGATGGGGTGGCATAACAGGGCACGTAGTAGTCATGGGGCTCTTTTGGTTGATGGTAACTCCAAATGCGGCTCTCCGACAGCTGTGGAATAAGTACCACTGCCCTAATAGGACAGAATTCTTTTAATATCAACTGTGAAACAATGAAGATACAGGAGCATACTATTAGGGTGGGGATGCAGATGGAGCTCCAGCGGTCCCGCCCCACACTTCATCCTGCAGTTGGGCTTTGTCCTCAGGCGTCTCCTTAAGCTAGCACCTTGCCCTAGACCCACATGTTTCCCTTTACACGTTCAGTCGCTATTTCAGTCATTTAATAAGCAAAAATGACTAAAGGCAATATAGTCAAGGTTATTATTAATTAGCCTCATTGAAACCAGCTCCAGTAATCAGCAACCATTTTATTGACTTAGATATTTATATCCTGGTTTTCTCCCCAGTGGGAAGAAAACATATTTCTCTTCTCCTTCCATTTTTATCCTTGCTACAACAACCCTGTGAGGTGGGTTAGGCTGCAACTGGCCCAAGGTCATCCAGCGAGCTGCGGTGGCAGAGGAGAGATTTACACTTGGGTTGTCCTTCCCCAGTCCAACCCTCTAGGCCTTACCCCATGCTGCCACAAGCATGCAAGGTTAACATGTCCATGGTGCACATCACCACCACTGCACATTTAGGAGTATTCATCTTTGTGCATGCACACACACGATATACCTCAAGGGCAAGGGGAGAGGAGCTCTCACCTATGAGAATACTTGCTGCGCACAGCCTTGAGCCGCTCATCATGCTGATAGGTCAACAGGAAGTTCAGCTTCTTAACGGATGACTGAAGATCTTGGACACAGTAGCCACTGTAATACTCCAGTGTGGGATTCTGTAACATAGCAGCAATTCGCACCATTCCAGGACAGCTCCACAAAGGGGGTGCCCAGGCCCTGAGGCTGCTGAACTCATGTGCCGTGTTCCCACCGCCATGAAAAGCGCTCCCTGCTTAGCATCTCACGTGCTTTGCTCAAGAAAGTGGCCAGCAACCCGCCTACTCAGAGGAAGAGGGCTCACCCAGCCATCAAGGTTCTTCATCTTCAGCGCCAAGAGAAGGCAGCTAGCAGCCAACCGAGAGGCCCTCTCCTGGACAAAGTCATATTCCTGCAGAGTCAATTCACAGATGAACCGGGCCAGTGTCAGGGTCTCCATGGTAGCATGGGTGCACTGCAAAAGGACAAATGGGGGGAAGGAGGAAAAGGTGAGGTAGCATTCCCTGAACACATTTTCCCTTTGTCTTCCCAAGTGCTCTTGTGTCCCAAGTAATACCAAGGCAGTAAGTGTTCACAGAGTTCAGGAAATAATCCAACTCTGCCAACAGGTTATGGGTCCAGCACACTTCCAACAGTAACATCTGACCAGAAAGCTTCCCATCAGATCCTTATCTCCACCCTTTATTCTATGACCAAAGCACTTCTAGCACTGAGTCTAAGACATGCCTGTAAGAAGCCTACAGAACCGGCCCATCCCACTGCGAGGCAAGGGGAGGCAAGGCAATAGTGCTGCTCTCACTTAAGTGTCCTAAATATGGTAAACAGTACAATTTGATATGCCAAGTATTGGATGGCAGGTAACATTTTTATAGTAGTCAAATAAGGTTACTAAGGAAGTATTGCATATTTCTCAATGTTTCTAAAGTCTACCCCCCCCCCCCGAAGTGGGAGACACACCTCCCCGCTTCAGAATTTCCAGAAATATTATATCTCTATGCAGCCGAGCAGGGGATGGTTCCCCATCTCTAAGGGGTCTGAAAATTTATGCGCAATATTGACCCTGCAAGAACACAGGCCTCCCCCTCCAGATTGGCAGGTGCTCAAGGCACCACGCTTTCCTTCCTCTGTATTCTCCTTTGTATCTCAGCAGGACTGGGCATCTATACTCTTCTCTCATCTTCAGTCCATACCCTCAGCGCTGTGCCTGTTGATGCAGAGTGCAGATTCCTGAGCTTAGCTTTCATTTTTTTAAAAAAGTTGCTCCCACTCAAAGTTGTAGAGTAAGGCTAGTGAGCATTTGAGCAATGCCTGGCTCAGAGCCCTGCACAGTTCTGCTAGTCAGGTGAAAGTGCACTCATCTGCAAACACACACTGCTGGCCTCAGGCTGGATTTCAGGCTACTACAAATATGTGCACCAGCACTAGGAGTGTGCAAAACAAAACAAAAAAGTATTTTTGGGTTTGGGTATATTGAACCTGAAAAATATCAATATTTCCCGATATTCCTGAATCCCAGTACTGGTATGGTATTCAGATTTGGTTAATAGTTGGGATTGCTAATTTTTTTGGCTCCATTATACCCTATGGGGACCATTATAGTCAGTGGTCCCCATATACTATAATGGAGAATTGATCCAGGGATATCTGGGGCTCTGGTAGGGCCCCTGTTTTTTTTAGGGGGGGGGGGGGACCAAGTTTCAAAAAGATTGAACTAAGGGTCCAATTCTATGGGCCCTAGAAGGTGATGCTCCCAATGGAGGAAGAGGAGGAGGAGAGTTGGATTTATACCTCGCCCTTCACTTGGAGTCTCAGAGCAGCTTACAATTTCCTTCCCTTTCTCTCGCCACAACAGACACCTTGTGAGGTAGTGGGGGCTGAAAGAGCTCTGAGAGAACTGCTTAAGAGAACAGCTCTGAGAGAACTGTGACTGACCCAATGTCACTCAGCTGCTGCATGTGGAGGAATGGGGAATCAAATGGTTCTCCACATTAGAGTCCACTGCTCTTAACCACTACACCAAACTGAGACTGGATCACAGTCCCTTTAAATGCCTTCTCCAAGCCATGTAACTCCGTGGTAAGTGAACTCCAAAGGCATTTAAAGGGCTTGCAGTCCCTTTAAATGCCTTCTCCAAGTTGAGTTCACTCCAAAAGCATTTAAAGGGACTGAGAGACCTTTAAATACCCTTTAACTGCAGCTTTTTAGGGCAGCCATTTTTGGATAACCAAATCAATAGTCCACTCGGTAACCAGCTGAGAAAATACTGTTAAAGTGTTTTTGGGGTATTTTTTCAGCTCAGTTTTCAGCACAACCCTAACCAGCACTACAAAGGACAGAATTGGGCTTCCTGAGAATGTCAGTTATGGCACAGCTGCTCTCGCAGGGGTGCAAAGGCAGCATCCAGAACACGTGCAACCCCCTCCACATGCACGTTCTGTGGTGGACCGCAAGCATCTTCCTATTTCCCAAGCAACAGCCGAACACTGACTCACCTTGGCAAACCGGCGGAGGAAGCGGTACGCAACAGGAATATTTATGTCAAAGTGGAGCGTTTGCAATATGCTCATTTCCATGGAGATGAGCTCTTCCCTGTTGTAAGCATCATCACAGATGTACAGGAAGTCATCCACACAGGGGGGACAGCGCTCCTGCATAGAACGAGGCGGGAGGAGAGAGTGTAATGGCTACTTCTATGCTCTGAAAGGCTTACTGGCAGTGGAGCCTGTATCCAGGGGCAAACCCTGAACAAAGAGAAGGTACATTCAAAGACCTGAAATTTTAATGCAACCTTCTATGGCATGATATTAAAAGTGTGCATTTTAGAAATCACTGTGTTCTTATAAGCCATCTTGTAGGTTTGTATGTGGAAATGGGTGTGATGCATATGTGCTCTATGAAATATAACAATGCCTTACAACCCCCTTTAACGTAGTAGGATCATCATCCCCTGATCTGGAGCTTTTGAAGCCAAGAGCACAAAGACACACGAGAGGGCCACAGCTCATAGGGGCTGATATTACATGCAAAATCTCCGAAATCTAAAATTTGCTTTTTCAAAGAGAACACATTCTTGAACTCACAGAGGTGGGGTGGGAGTAGATCAAATCTAAAAGGGCACCTGCAGGGGACTTCTAAAAATAAGAGAGAAGCAGACTTGCTTCAGCCTAGGCAGCATCTCTGAAAAGCCCCTTCACTGTATCACTGAACTTATTTCCTAAGAGTTAGTCAGACCCACCAGCCCAAAGCCAGCCAGAACTGCCTGCAGGGGCTTGGGCACATCACGGCCTGCGGATTACGCCCCGAGTTCCACGGTGATGGAGAACAGAGAAAGGGACAGCAGAGCCTCATGACAGAAGCCACAAGCCTTGGCAGAGGGACGCAGCCCCGATGATCCTCCAGCAACTAGGATGGACAGGCTCCACTCCCTCTTGTTTAGCTGTGCCTTGCACTGCCCCAAAGCTCCCACTTGGGCTTACCTCAAACTTGGAGGCAATGAGAATGGCCGTGGAGCCAATGAGCTGCAGCTTGTCCCGCATGCTGGTCACCTTCACCAGGTAGTGGTCCATTAGTTTGACTGCCAGGTAAAGTGTCTCGTGGGTAAGGTCAAAGTTCTCCTACAGGAGCCCGGGAGACAAAGATGGGAGTCAGCGTGTGGCTCCATCTGCTTCAGCTGGCAACGGCTCTCCAAGGAGCCAGGCAGGGGACAGAGGACTCTTGCAGCCAGGCTGCCAGTGAAGCTTCGAAGCGGAGAGGCTGAAGGTAGGATTCTTCTGCGTGCAAAGCATGTGCTTCACCACTAAACTCCAGCTCCCTCATAAAACAATGAGCTGCAAAGAGGTGCTAGAGCCCAGATGAAGCCATATATCCATTGGGAACAAGATTTTAATGCTCGGCTTCCATTTAGGACTGCAACACAGCAATCCTCTTACCAGCAGCATCAGAAATAATGGATGGAGTCCCAGGCAGCCTCCCAGAACCCAAGTCCAGCTCATCTGGTGCCACCCTGACCTAGAGAGCCCAGGCAAGCCCAATCTTGTCAGATCTCGGAAGCTAAGCAAGGCCAACCCTGGCAAGTATTTGGATGGGAGACCTCCAAGGAATACCAGGGCCGGGAGGCAGAGGCAGGCAATCAAGCCACCTCTCTGAAAAACGCCCAAGCCCCCAGCACGGGTCACCAGAAATCAACCATGACTTCCAGGCAAGAACAAACAAACAAACATACACGCACGGACTTAGATTTGGCACAAGCCAACTCATGAGACAGACAGGAGCCCCACACCTGGGGCTACCACTTGGCACCGGACTACTCCTTCCCCAGAGAAACCAGCCCTGAATCAGAGTTTGGGGAGGGGGGAGGCATCATCTTACTTCTTGGGGGCCATGGGACCGGCATCATGACCCAGGACCTGATAGTGGCAGCAAGCGCCATTCCCAAGTAGCTCTCTGTTCATTTGTTCTTTTCACCACACCAGGATAGCTGAACATGAATCTCTTTTCCACACACCCCACCACATCGCCTCCGCCAAGAGATCACCCTGCCCCCAAATATTTGCATTACAGGCTTTGCCACATAGCTTGGCAAACAGGCCTCACACTTCAGATGTGCAACAGGCACTCACCTGCACCTCCACCATCCAGTCTACCAGAATGGCCCGCATGTCCCTGGTGATGTCAGGCTGACTCTCCATGTAATCTGGGATCGAGAATTTCTCCTAGGTAGGATGGAACAGAAGAGGAAGAGCCAAGCATACAGTCCGGTGCCCTCCAAGCTGCTTTCCAGACCTTCCACAGGAAAGATCAACCCACCAAGTCCAGCCAGGAGGGCCTAGTTATTAGCAAGACCGAGGCCACGTTTTGTGGCAAACCAAAACCAAACCAGCATTCAGACTGAAGCTGGTGCTGCTTTTGAAATCCAGGGAGTCCCAGCTAGCATCTTGCAATCTTATCCACAAGTGCTCAGTTTGGGAAGAGAAACCCAAGGAGAGAGGGGGGGGGGGTTTTCATTCACCCACAGCCACCAGAACAAAACCTTACTCCAGACATTACTTATTCCAGACCCCAGAATCAAAGTATAAATCTGTAGTAGTTTTTAAAGGGAGCTTCATCCTCCAAATAACCTCAGGAGTTTCCCCCTTTTTTAAAGGCCTGAACACTGGCGTCAGGGAAACATCCCCAAACCAACACCAATTGGATATAAGCTGTGAAGCATTTGCTGAGAAAGTCCTGTCGCTCCACCACAACCTGCCTGCCAACTTTGATACCGTATGTGAACTTGAGGCCCCTTGGCTGTCTTTGGATTCAGTGTTGGGCAACCTCAACTGTTTCTTTGAGACTAATGTTGAGAGGATTCTGAGGAGTGTGAAGCCAACCGCTTGCCTCTTGGACCCATGTCCTAGTAAGAGCCGGCAGCAAGGGTATACAGGGTCCTCTGATGGACTATCAATCTGTCCCTGAGTTCAGGGGTCTATCCAGGGGTTTTAAAAGAGGCAATGATAATACTGCTCCTGAAGAAACCATTGTTGGACCCTTCTGATCTGGCCAACTACCACCCAGTCTTGAACCTTTCATCTTTGGGTAAGGTAGTTGAGAGAGCGGCGGCTGAGCAACTTTCCTGGAGGACACATCGGCTCTAGACCCCATCCAATCTGGCTTCCGCCCTCATGGACAATCTTCGTAGGCAGCTGGATCGGAGCAGGTCAGCACTGCTGTTATTGCTTGACTTGACAGCAGCATTCAACACAGTGGATCACAGTCTGCTGGTTCATTGTCTCGCCAATGCTGGAATTCGGTGGGACAGCTCTGAAGTGGGTTGCCTTGTTTCTCCACCATGGGGGACAGAGAGTGGTACTGGTGAGAGGGTGTCTCCTCAATACCCCACGACAGGCAGAGTCCCTCAGGGGGCTATCCTCTCCTCAGTTATTTAACCATCTACATGCACCCTCTCGCCCAGGCTGGCTCAGAGTTTTGGGCTGAGCTGCCATCAGTACGCTGATGACACCTAGCTGCATCTGTTGATGGACGGCCAGCTGAACACCGCCCCAGGAAACTTGGTTGAGGGTTTGGAGGCCGTGGTGGGGTGGTTGAAGCAGATTCGGCTGAGACTGAATCCATCAAAGACGGAGGTTCTCTGGGTGGGTGTGGGGGTAGGGACTCGGGGCTGGGGCATCAGCTCCGACCGCTTGACCATGCGCCCTTAACACCGGCGCAGACAGTCAAGAACCTGGGTGTGGCCTGAATGCCACCCTGTCAATGGAGGTCCAGGTCACAAATATTGCCAGGCTGGTGTTTTTCCAACTACGCCAGGTTAGGCAGCTGGCCCCTTTCCTGTCTCACCCGACCTAGGCACATTAATCCACGCAATAGTCACCTCTAGACGATTACTGTAATTTGCTGTATGCCAGGCTGCCCTTGAGGCTAACCCAGAAGTTACAGCTTGTCCAGAATGCAGTGGCCCAGGTCCTTACGGAGACACCTGTAACAGCACACATATCACCTGTGCTCCACCAGCTGCACTGGCTTCAAGTTGAGTACTGGGTCAAGGTTTTGGTCTTGACTTTTAAGGCCCTGAGCGGTCAGGGACCAGTGTACCTACAGGACCGCCCCTCCTGGTATGTCCCACGGAGAGCACTACACTCAAGTGAACAACATCTATTGGAAGTTCCTGGCCCAAAGAGTGTCCGGCTGTCCTCCACCAGAGCCAGGGCCTTTTTGGCTCTGGCTTGGTGGAACTCTTTGCCTACTAACATCAGGGCCCTGCGGGATCTGTTACAATTCTGCAGGGCCTGCAAGGCAGGGATGTTCCATCAAGCATATGGTTGAGGACAGCAACGTTTTTTAACAGCTACAGCTTTTTAACATCAATGGTCTAGTAGACTAATCAGTCATGAACAGATGCTGGTGCACTAACTGCTTCTACCCTCTCCCCCCACTGGCAAAGTATTGTTAAAGTAATTGCATTACGGTGCCATGTGGGTTTGGGGTGTTTTAGAATTGTACTTTAGGTTATTTATGATTTTATATGTATTTTATAGATCATTGTTGTACGCCATCCTGACCCTGCTTGCGGGGAGAGCAGTATAAAAGTAAACAAACAAATAAATCTCCAGGTTACCTCCCGCTCCCGCATATAGTCGAAGATATCCTTGGCATATTCAGCGCTGGCATAAGGATCATCCTGCTGGACCTTGTCTATGTCCTCAATTGGTTTCACCTGCACATGGAAGGAAGTTTTCTGTTTTTTAAAAAAAGTATCTAGGTTGAATAACATAAGCCCTCTTGCTCTCCATCAACTAAAACCAGAGAGCAACAAGTGACTCCTTTATCCACAGTTTACTGGCTTCCTCATAAGTTCTTTCTTTGAAGCTCATCTTACTGCTACAGTCTCTTGACATTCAATTACGACAAATCCGGTTCGAAGCAGGGCCTTTGCTGCCCTAGTCTGAGCCACTCACTGACCTGCCCACTCTCAACTGGCAGCTGTCCAGGGTCTATGACTTCCTCACTCCTGCTACGCAAGGTGCTGTTTAGAAGGCAAGCTGAGTATTGATCCATGCAGAAGGTATACCACTACGGAGCTACAATTTCTTCCCAACTGTCCCCTAAAATTCCCTAAGTTATGGAAAAGGTTGCCCCATCTGCACTGACAGGAGCTCGCAGCCAGGTCTGGATGCTCCAGCTGAAGAGCAGGGACTGAGCCAGCAGTGACAAGGGACCCAACAGATTCTGTATCCAAGCAAGGTAATGCGAAAGCTTTGGGGCACTCTTCAATGAAGCAAAGAGATGCATCTATTGTGTCAAGGGCCCACCCCGTAAGTCTTTGTCTTGGTCCATGAATTCACTCAAAGGGACTATAGCTCAAGTCACCCAACAGATATGTGAGAACACTGCAGATAATGGTTTCATGGAAAGAGGAGGACCTAATTAGAAGCCAAAAACTGGCAGGCTCATGGAGACTCCAAAGGCACAGCCAGTCTCCTCCATGGAAGTGGGGCATCAGGGTAAGCAGATGCTGCAAAGCATGCTCATACAGACACACTCAGTATCACTAAGAATAAATATAGCCATCTGTCCAAAATCAAGTTCTATCATCAGCACCCCTCTCCCATTCCCACCCACCCTCATGCTCCTTAGCTTCTATTAGCTGCAAAGCTGTCAATGAGAGTAGCTTCCCTGTACCAAAGCCACTTCATCTGCAGGTGTCTGTGGAGGATCTGCCTTCTCTGCTGGAACCTTCTCAGTTGGTGCATCCTCAGAGGGAATTTTGCTCACTGACCTGAAAGAGGTAAACCTGGGTTAGTAATACAATCAGATCACAGATAATATACAGACAAATCAGCCACTGGTGGGGCATTCCAGTATAACAGCATTTACTAGTAACTAACATAAAGTGTATTATTTGGATGGAAACTCTGATAGGGTCAAGTAGGTAGGACTACCAGCATGTTTGGATATTCAAGCTAAATTTTATAACATTAAAAATACTGAACTCTTTCATTTATTGTCATTAAACACACTATAGCATATTCATGGTTAAAATTAGGGATGGACACGAACCAGCTGATGAATTTTGGCTGGTTCATGGTTCGCAAACTGAAATTCGTGGCTGGTCAGCCTGCACGAACTTTCAAGCTGTTCATGGGTCTCTGCTCAAAGTGTTTACCAAACTTCAAAGCAACAAAGCAACTTCAAAGCAAACAGGGAGGGCAGAATTCTCCAGCCTTGGAAACACCAATACCTTGCCTGTGCTTTTGGTGTTTGTAGCTTGCTCTTTTGAACCTGTGCCTGACATTTCTCCCAAAAGCACTTTCCTGGGGACATCTTGGGGGGGGGATAACTCTACCTCTCTTGCAGTAAATAGGAGCAATCATGACCCAAAAGGGATGCCAGCAGATGAACAGGCAAACCAACACGCACTTGTGTCCTCACTTTTTAAGGTTGATCTCATTGTTCTTTGCAACACCCAGCACAACCGAACCCTTTGGGGCCTTTTTCGAAGCTGCCTTTGCTGTCTCCTTCTTTCCCAATATGTGTTGAGTCTTGTGAGCCTACAAAAAGAAGATCACAAGGTTATTAATGAAGGAAGCAGACCCTACTACTGCCTTCGCGTATATGTACAGTCCATGCCTACTCCGAAGCTGGGGCATCCTCTCAGCTCTAGAAAAGACGGAGCTGCATCCTTCCCAACTTTACTCCATTCATACTTGAAAAGATGGCAGAAAAGGTTCAGCCTCACAGATCCAAGAAAGGTGTCAGACAGACTAAGGCAGCAGTGGCCTGTCTATGTGCTTAAAGCTGCTTCAGAAACATGGGTAAGTTTGGGCTTACACATCCCACCCCCTACTTACATTGGTGATATCCCCAAAGGCAGAACGTTTCTTGGGTGCGCCCTGCGGTGAGGAAGGAGATCGCTTCGCCTGAGAGCTTTCCTCCTAGGATGGAGAAATAGATAAATTGGGCAATCTGTACAGAACACCTGCATTTGTGATAGGCCTTCGCCTAAATGCTAAGAGTCCCCTCAGAGACCCAGAGCCCTGGCAGGCACAGCAGTGCCAGCTCCCAGAGTAGCTCTGCCATCAGCTTCCCAGAAACTCCCCAGACTAGGAAGTTCCACTCATTGTCACCCACCTGTAGCTCGTCTCCAAGGTTTTACCACAAGCCAACAATACTGACCCCATCTTGACCCTTTGCCCACAGCATAGAATGGCAACATGCCCTTGCCAAAAGATTGCCCTGGGGAGGAGGGACTTGAGCATGCAAATCCTGGTTACCCAGAGGGGGAAAGGGACCCCAGAGGTTCCATTCACCTTCTTGGCTTGGGCATTCTCCACAGCTGGCGCTCTGCCTGGGCAGGGTTGCTTGCTGACTGCCGCCTTGGTATTGCGTGGGGCTGGCATACTGTTTGTTTTCAGCCCACCAAAGCAAAGCTGGATACAGGAAATGAGAGAGATGGAAATGGTCAGTCAAAACTAGAAAGCACAACCAGCCACTACCTTTGCCACCCACCATACCACCTCTAGGGCACGCCTTTATGAGTAGCCCAGCAAGCAGATTGATGTGCAGTTGAGGGGTAGAAGGCTGCCCAGGAGAAGAAACAGCAAAACTCAAATCCAGTAGCATTTCAAGGGCCATCAAAAGTTCCATGCTATACAAGAGTCTTCCGATACCTGTCATACTTGACAAAAGGAGCTTTGACTCTCCAAAGCATACACCCTGGAAATCTTGTTGGTCTTTGAGGTGCTGCTAGACTTAAATCTTGTTCTTCTGCTGCGGACAGCTACACACCTCCAACCACGCAGAGAAAGGTACAGATGGCACTGCTAGATACCAAAAAAGCATCGGTCCTCCCACCTCACCAGCAGTTAATCTCCACCCGCTGGGTTTCTTTCTGTTAAATACCCAGAATCCTGCCAAGACAAAGAGCAGCGCGGCAGCATGCTGGCTGGAAGATCGGGCGGGGAGGTGGCTTTTCCGAAGGCAAAAAGCCTATTACCGTCCCCTACACCGTAGTGATAAGGCAAGAGGCAGAGGCAAACAATGGAACAAGGAGCCTTCCAGGGAGAAGATATCTCCGCTGCAGACAGCAGTGGGCCGTGAATCGGGACAAGCAACTGAAGGACGGAAGTGAGGCAGCGTTGCATAGTGCTGGAGTAGGGCTCACAGGTCGGAGGCGAGGAATTGCACAAAGGATCAGGCAAAACTACCCCTACCCACCCAGAGCTCCTCCTTGGTCCCTCGAGGCAAGCAAGTAAGTAAGTATACCCGACTGACTACCCTCCGAACGGATCGGGGCCACCTACCGCTACCACCCAGATCCTCCACTCGCCTTACTTGATCTACCGCAGCAAAAGTGGGAATTTGAAAATTGCTACATTGGCAGAGGACGACCGTCGATTGGTTCCGCAGTAGCCAATCCGAGAGCCGGGAAGAATGCGGTTGCTAAGGGCGGTGCCTAAAGATTTTTAAAAACCGGCTCTCGTAGCCAATAGGAAGCTATGAGCAGCGGTTCCGGCAGAAGGGGCTGCTCCTGGTTGCAAATGAAGCTTCAGATATGCTAAGATACGTCAGAATGTAACTTTTCCTTAAAGGGGCAGTGCGCCTATGACCCGTCGCTTTCTCTAGAGCTTGGAGTAAGGAAGTTGAGTAGTGAGTACAGCGAAACTTCTTGACTCTGTTCCTTCCAAAGTTACGTGGTAGTCACTTGCCTGTAAGTAACTGTTGGGTTTCCGCGTGTAGGTGGCAACGCGATCCATACTTTACTTTTGTTGAAATCTTCAGTGTGTACGTGAAAGCAATACGTGTTTTAAAGTACACGTGCAATAAGGTCACACGCTGGATTTAACTCAGCATCAAATGTAAAATGGTTGGAAAGAGGATGCCGGGCTAGATGGTTCCTTTGAACCACCAGCTATCTCATGTGATGCTCCTACGTACGTGTCAATCACAGTACATAAGTTATTTGCACGCATGTAGGATAAGCCCATTTAACGATCTACAAGAGGGAAGTGTGTCATTTCTTGCACAAAACTGCCCCGCTTGGGCAACTGTCCTACGTGTTTATTAGCCTTAAATTTAGGGGAAATTGCCTGGTAGTGGAAGACATGCGTTTTCTGAAAACAAAGAGAAGCTGACACTTTGTTGATCAGAAGGGGTCAGCACATGTGCATCGCTTTGCCTGGCCTGCGATTCTGTTCGGAAATGCATCTGACAGCAGCAATGCTCCCTCTAAGCTGTGGTGTCTTGTGAGCAAAAATTCTACTTTGTGAGCCATTTGACTACTGCATCAGTTAGTTTCCTCTGGAGACATCCTTCCTGAGCTAAGACAAAAATGTGTGAGCCAGAGGGTTAAAAACTGTGAGCTAGCTCACACTAACTCGGCTTAGAGGGAACACTGGACAGCAGTGCTCTGTGACACTCAAAAGCTGGCCATTCCAGCATCTGAAACATGGGTTGGGTCGGAAGGGGGTACTGCCTCGTTTATTTATTTATTTATTTTGGTTCTCCTTCCACCAGAGGGCATCACAGGCTATGATAAAGGCTGCAGTCCTGAGCATAGTTAGGCTGCTTAGTTCCCACTGAAGCCTATTCTGTGCAGGATAGCAGCCAAATTGCTTCTGAATCCCTAAAACAGCTGAACGGCTAAACCCCCGGTTTTATGATTTAACACTGGCTACAGTGATGTGGTGGCACAAAACTTTGTCTTATTCATTCAATCTGTGAAATCTTAGGGCAGCTGAATACAGGTTTATTGATTCTCAGCAAAGTAAAATATTTCATTTTGCATCGGAGTTCTATTTCCTGTGTGTGCTGGGTCATAAAGCCACTTCATTCAGCTTGTCCATCTACTGCCTAGAATGTCATCTCTCCCCTCACTTCTTCCCTTGAGTGCCAGTTTGAAAATTTAGTCACACTGAGCCTACTTGAATCAGACCAAGTATGTTTGGGCCCTCCTTGCCTCCAGCATTCCCAGGACAAAACTAATCCAGGCAATTTGCAAGTGATTGCCAAAAAGGCACCTCTGGGTTCAGAGGCAGAATTAGAATGTATCTGACTGTCAGATGCTGAGAGCAGTAAATAGGTGTCCCCGTAGCTGGCTACTCTGGAAACAGGATTCTGGGCTACGTGGATCGTTGGTCTTTGGCAATTTGCAAGTGATTGCCAAAAAGGCACCTCTGGGTTCAGAGGCAGAATTAGAATGTATCTGACTGTCAGATGCTGAGAGCAGTAAATAGGTGTCCCCGTAGCTGGCTACTCTGGAAACAGGATTCTGGGCTACGTGGATCGTTGGTCTTTTTTTTTTTGGCCCCCCGAAGGGGATTTTTTAATTACATTTTTCTAAAGACTACAAAACTACAACGAAAATAAGGGAAGGGAACTACAATTAGGGATAAAGAAAAGAATACCCACTACTATCTAAAATCCCAAGAGAGGAGATCCTCAGAATCACTTAAGTACAAAGTCAGTTCTAAACTCGCTAACAATGTTTTGAACTTAGTCAGGTCTGCTAATACAACTTTTGAATCTTAAATTAACTGTTAAAAAGAAAACCCCCAAAGCATCTCGTTACTATCAACCCTTTTCAAAGGCACAATACAGAGTCCTTCAGCCTTCATTT